TGATGACAGGACACAAAAAATAAAAATAAAAACACACATCATAATAAAATCAATACATTCATCGCTACGCTCAGAATCTAAAATAAAAATAAAAATGTTATTATTATTCCATATGGGTTTTGCAAGCCTCTGTTAATTATATCTAAATAATTTTTAATTCGAATAAAAGTTCTAATGTCATGTGCCATGTTCGTTTCATCGTTTGCATGTGCCAGGCCTTCCTGTTACGTCCCGAAGATCTGCAATATWWWWATAAGTATTAGTTATTTTATAACAACATTTTTTCTTTCAAACTCGTAGCTGGAAATATGTATACTGTKTACATCCAAATCATCATCTTTGCAAATTTCCAATACTATAAGTACAATAAGTATACATAAAATGATATGTACAATTAATAATAATAACAACAAAAACATAAAAATAAATAACACAATATCACGGTCACCAGGGCGTCGGCCCGGACTGAAACTCTAGACACGTTGTCCCCACTCCTACACAGCACCTGTTTCTTSGATGCGCGCGTGCAATATTCCTKAGGTTAGTGAAGTGTATCGTTCGCAGTATTCTACCGCGCACCGACCTCTACGCTCGTCAGCGAAATACGCGGTGGTCGAGACTGCGAGTATAAATCGAGTGGCCGGATACCGACGACGCTGACATCCGATAATTCCGGCACCGGCCGTTCGGTCCGATAACCACCGTCGAGCCTCTCGATATAGCTCGGTATCGTAAACCCGGCCACGTCCACACCGGAAGTACGAATCGATCTAAATTATATTACATAAAAACAGACGAATAGATAGCGGAGAACACCAGATCGGTGATTTTTTTTTCCTACAAGGAACATCACCTTCCGTGGCCGTTGGTCATGTGCAGGCCGGCCGATGCTGCTGTAAAACGCCTAGTCACGGTCTTCGCAGCCGCGGCGGTGGTTGCGGGGGTAGCGGCCGTCACGCGACACCCAGTGGTCGTGGTGGTGTCATTCGACGGTTTCAGGCCCGATTACATCCGGCCCAACGTGACGCCGCACATGGCCCGGTTCCGGGACGCGTCCGCCGCGCCGCCGTACATGCGCAGTGCGTTCCCCACGAAGACGTTCGTCAACCACTTCACCATGGCTACCGGAATGTACTCCGAGAACCACGGCGTGCTCGACAATTACATGTTCGACAAAGACTACAAGACGATGCACTACACTTACGAGCAGTTCCATTACGATGATTCGRTGGTGCCCATCTGGGTAAGGTCATTTCGCCCAAGTTATCCATAATGATTATCATTTATAATTGAGTACCGGATTTATATGTTCCAAGAACCTCAGAAGCGCATGCACTATAAAATATACATTTATGCTCTTATKTTTTTAGAAACATATACCTACCCTATAAATTAAAAAATATACAAAAAAATCGATTCAAAAAAGTATTTTTCACTACTTGTTATGTTACTATATTATATTTATTTGATTAATTTTTGGCATTTTAAATATAACGAATTAAATCGAATGAAAATTACGCGCACTCGGATCACGAAAACCACTCAATGATAGATTTACTACTTGTCTCGATTGGTTTCAGATATGACGAGAAAACGACTTCGTCAAATTACATGGACTATAAATATAACTATAAATACGTTATTTTAGTTGATATAAGCAAAATATTACATATTATGCATTTAAAACTCGTATACCTATACACAATAAAAAATTTTAAAATACAGAAATATATGCAGTAAATATCCAAAAATGGTAAAATATTCAAAAAATATGCTAAATCAAAAGCGTACTTCGGATCCAACGACTTTAATTAAAACTTGTAGCTTACCTAGTTATTTTTTGGACTATTTAGAAAAAACATTCAAATCCATATAAATTCAGGGACTATTTATAATAGTTTTGTTTTGGACACTAGCAATCTCAGTCCAAGAAAATCTATCCCAGTAAAATCAGTCCAAAAAAACTAGTTACCACGATCAGTTACATATGGTTGAGACATATAGTCGGACTTAGTTAACTCAAAATTNAAACTGATTTGAATTCGTTATTATGTCTTATTGAGATAGGCCACGCCACATTGTCAAATTGTTTACCCTAATCTATTAAATATGGATTTAAAAATTGTGAAATTTAAAACAATGTAAATTTTGATCACACTGAATTAAAATTGTAAATTTGAAAAGTGGCTCTGCTGATTTCAAGATGACATAATAATGAATTCAAATCATTTTTTAAAAGTCTGATCGCATTATTAGGTTCATCTGACTGTTGAACAAATGTTTGGGTGTTTTTGTCGAAAGATGGTCGAYTTAAAAGGAAGTTACAACCACGTGACGTATTGTCTCTCCGTCTTTCAAATGTAAAACATTGCGAAAACTGTTTTTCGAGGGAAAGAACCAAATTTTCACACTATATAAACAGGAGAATATTTACAGTGCTACGTGTTTTTTTTTTTCAATATCGTAACTAAAAAAAAGTTATACAAGTTTGAAAAACTCAAAAATAATGAATTCTCAAACAATAAGAACTTTTTTGTATTTGTGATACCGACAAATTAAAACAATGTTGCACAATCTCCTCTTTATAGTGTAAAAAATTWGTTGCTTAGCTTCTATTACAGCTTGAGTAGTTCTTTCCCGTGCAAAACAGTTTTCACAATGTTTTACATTTGTAAGACGGAAATAATACATGTGAGTTTAGCGTCCTTTTAGTAATTTTACTCACGCATGCGACTTTGTACACGTTGACATGTGCATGATCATATTCAGTTACTATACATACGTTACCATTCTTTTTTTTCTTTTCTTWTTGTTATATATATATAATACCGTAAATCATTAGGTGAACCTAGGTTTTATTAGTTAATGCTTCTTATAAGATTGTCAATCTTATCACAAAAAAAAATGTCCACCGGAAATTGAAATTAAATTTTTAT